GTCTGTGTCTGTCTGTCTGTCTGTCTGTCTGTCTGTCTGTTCTGTCTGCTCTGTCTCTGTCTGGTCTGTCTGTCTGTCTGTCTGTCTGTCTGTTCTGATCTTGTCTGTTGGTCTGTCTGTCTGTCTGTCTGTCTGTCTGTCTGTCTGTCTCTCTGTCTATCTATCCGTCTGCCCTACTGCCCCTCTCCTCCTCGCTCTCTCTAGTTCTCCATCTCCCCATTCTCTCTCTCTCTCACACTCTCTCTTGCTGTGATGCAAGACACGCAGCAGGCCGAGCACCGGTGATTATGGCGCCACCTATCCGCCACGCCGCGCACGTACGGTGCGTAGCCCTCAGCGAGACACGACTATAGACTAGTAATCTCATTAGAGGCATGCGGCGCTGTCACGATCATTACAAAACCCGCTGCTTCGAAAAATACCAGTTCTGAAAACCCGCCGCTGGGTGTACAAAAAACCCGCGTGTTTTCTTAACGACGGCGACTAAACGCCGCTTTGAGAAAACACGAGTTTTTTTTACCCGGAGAGAATTTCCCGGCTTGAGTCTACGTCTTGTTGTTGGCAATCGAACGCGGTTTAGTCGTCATGGTAAGTTTAGTCGTCGTTACGCTAACTCGCGAAGTTACTTACATGCGGTTTGATATAAAAAGTTTTGGCCACCTGTTATAGAGTTTAATAAACCAAACTTTTGAGTCTGCGCAGCGATTCAAGTTTGAATCAATCCAACATGCTGGTGTCAGATGTGGAATTTAAAAAAAACCTAAAAACGCGAATTTTAACGTGGTTTCGCATCGCATGGACTCACAACCCGGGCGATTTTTCATCATGTATAGACGCCTCTATCCCGTAACATCACTCATTGGTGTATGACTTCAGTCTGCACTCGCATAGTATTTTCAAACTAAATACTAAATAAAGTCAGTATCCTCAGCGAGTGAAGTGAATATACATATATGTAGCTTCAGTTCGCACTCTCACATTACTTTCCGACTAAATCAGTGTCCATAGCGAGTGAAGTGATTCTACAATTTATATCTGTATAGCTTCAGTCCGCACTCTCATATGACTTCCGACTACTCACGGTACATCCGCTTTAACAACACGTGGAGAGAATCTACGGCTGCGGTAGTTTCACTGCAATCACTTTTCTTTCACTTACTTACTTTCGACGAAAATTTCAACAATACTTACACGTGTAGCGTTCGACGAACAGAGCGATGCAGATCATGTAGAAGACGGCGAGGTAAAAGATGTGCTGTCGGTTGTCCTCTAGATACGTGATGAACGAACTCCAGCGACGTCTGAGCCAGGGCTGCCGCGACTGCAGCTGAAAGACGTCCGTATCGACGCGAAAACTCTCGGTCCTGCGACGAGTTAGTAGCAGTCAGTTATAGACACGAGCGCCATCTTGATAACGTGTGGCGTGTAATAATATCTCAAAATATACACAAAATATCTGCGTAAAATATCCAACTGTCTATCTATCTATCGATATATATATATATATATCGATAGATAGATAGATACAAGAGCGTATAAAGAAGGCGCCTTCTTTATACGCTCTTGATAGATATAGGTACGAACGATTATGGTGCGGTTACGGTAATATATACGGTTATAGTACGTTAGGTTTCCTTACCTTACATTCTGTTTAATAATTAACATTGCACAGTTATATTTGCTTTTAAAAACTATTGCTTTACAACTGCATTATTGAAGTAGCACTTCTTATTTCCTACTTTCTTCTAAAACATGATCATATTTTGGAAGCGAAAGCAGCACGGGCAACACCCACCCACACTAGTATATAGATATATACCTCAGTGCGCTTCGTTTTGGCACGTACACTTGCTTCGTACCTGTCACACAATAGAAAAAATCACTTTGTGTCAGATGTAACATAAAGAGCTTCCTTTGAAGTTTAGTTGAATTAGGGTTTACAGTTTAGAAGTTTCTCTGCAATACAACTAAATATACAGCCACGCACATACATATAATATGTATGTATGTAGATATATGTTATTATATATAACGAGGCGACTCGGTGAAATTGAAAATACGCTCACATAACCTTTCAAATGTTATCTACGCTATTACAGCTGAAGGTGAAAGCCCATGTCTGGCTGTTTTTTTGCAGCCGGCGTTTCTTTTCGTATTCATGAGTATGCTTTCAACTGTTTTCCGTCTGTCAAACCTTTTAGGTGTAATCCCATCTTGCCCAAATCATTTTCGTGTTTTTGTAGAAGAATTCTAAAGTCCTCGAAATTCAGTTCCGTTTTTTCGGCTAGACCGACTGACGATAACCACGCTTGCACGAGGTCTTGTACGTTCCTCTCGCTGAATTCACTCTGAGTGGTCTGAATCAACGATCTGCAAACAATGGACGCCTCTTAATCCGTTAATTATCGGGCTTAATTAAACAATCATAGCCCTCCAAAGATTGCGTGATCACACAACGAATCATAAATATCTAATCGGGTTGTGTTCCGGGCGAAAAAGCAGATGTTACGACTGTACGGTGTAAACGCGCTAATGTAGGCAGTTTTACTCGCGCATCTATATGTCATTATACATACCAACTAATCAATGAAAAAGGGTTTTCAACAGATTTTCACGTTAACATACAAATGATTCCTATAAAAAACACGCCTGGGTAGAGTCTTTGCGTAGACGACGGTATTTTTTCAAGACTGTACCTGATCATTTGCTCAAAGTCGACTATGCTCAGGTTTTCTTCCTGCGACACGTTCAGCATGTTATAGAGAACGCGCATCTTATCGAGTGCGGTTCCTGTCAACAGAATGACAATTCATAAATCCAACGGATGATGACCACCGCCACCACCACCATCGCGATTACCACCTCGGCCTTTCTACACCGCGAAAGTAGTAATATACAAATTGCTGTCACGCGAGTGTGCCTATGCCGTGTGATCAGTACGAGTAGTGTTACTCAGGTGTAGTGAGCTTCGTTAACTCTCATTGTATTAGCAATCCGCTTAGGGCGCTATTAGGATATTACCTCTGGCGAACAATATAACCGTATCCAGGAAGTCTTTGTAGCTGATATAACCGCTTCTGTCCCTATCAGTCACGGCAAATAACCTTTCGATGAAGAGAGAATTGGCTTTCATGCCCAGCACTTCGGCAAATTCCGCCTTCGTGAGTTCTGTGTTGAGTAACTCCTCAGCAGCGACCGGGTCTTTACTGCTAGCTGTTTCGAATCCGAAGGCCTAAAAAAGGTCGGGATGGACTTGACATCAATAAAGCTTTATTAATGGTATTAGTAGCAGGGCACGAAATGCTGTTAGGTCGCTTAACTAGTAGGCGCCCGGCCATATACATAGAGAGTGCGTTTTATCTTCTCACATCACAAACGTTCCCGCTCAGAACAATCTTAGCCTTTTCCAGTCAGTGACGCCTCTTTGATGCACGATATATAATATACAGCGCTGTGTGGTTACAATTGAATACATTAGCGGATGTGCACCTCTTTGTATGCGTCTTTGAAGAAGTGTTCGAGCCGTTTCTGTCGTTTCTCTTTCGTCTCGGCGGTTTCGTACATCTTCAAACACGACAGAAATGCCCAACTGTAGTTTCGACTAACACAAATTTTCATGCTACATCCTCATCTTAAACGATACGTTAGATAGTTCTCTATTATTAACTTCATGGTGTTATTAGTTATTAGCTTAAAATTGTGATTAAAAATATCATCAGCTTTAATGTCAATATTGACTGCTATTATTATGTATGCTGTTTACCGGTTATTATACAGTAAATCTATCGTCATCTGTCTTATATATTTAATTATGTAGGGCCTACCTTGGAAGCAATTGTTCCAAGAACTTCGAGTGCCTTGCCTTGACGCTGTAGAAAATCATTGAACATCGAGAGGAAATTCTTGCGCTTGTTGGTAGAGCTAAACTGTAGTACCTAAATGAATCATCAGTGAGACTCATCATTATTATTATTTTATTTATTTTTTAATTATTATTATTATTAATATTATTGAATTATTATGAAATAAGATGGAAAGAACAGGAATTAAATATTTCAAGATAGTGAGAATCATCGTGGACGGTAGGCAAACATATACCTATCGGGATAGAGTTCTTGAGAGAATCGCTTCTTCTTTTTTTGGTTAGAAATAAGAGATGAAGACTATAGAGGAGATATTTTTGATATGGTTCTGCTACCGTATTCGGAGCCATCGGGTTGTTACAACGATGTGATTCTGTATTCACGAACTGATATTAATGTCGCGTTTATCATCCACGCACAATTCAAGGTTACTACTGATATAACCCACGACGTGGCGAAACTCAAAAATACAAAGCTAAACCGCCCTGCTGCGGCAGCGATTTTCACACAGAAAACTGGGCTACAACCTTAACAACACCTCCAATAATTTGACCTCAACGAGTCTGTTGCACAGAGATACGATTTTTCTGCGCTGGTCATTTTGACGGTTAATAAAGGTTGCACCACTTACCAGGTCGTGGTCCTTTGGGATGCGTATGAGAGCCAGACATGCTTTCTCCGTGTCGAGGTTCGATTCGACGATGACGTTGAAGATTTCTCGAAGGCTGATGTTTCGCAGCTTGTCGTTCTTTCTGCTCAGCACCAGCAGACTGTCCGACGGACCAAACTGCACCGTAACCTTGCGACTGTGCGACCCGTTCAACCACTCCAGAGCTGTAAAGATAAATCAGACGCTTGTGAAGTTGCGTAACACGTTCACGACATTACAGGCGAAAGTAAGCAGCGTTTGATTTTGTTTGGGCGCGCGCGCGTGTGTGAATGCGTGTGCGTGCGTGTGCGTGCGTGCGTGTACCTGTCTGCGTCCACGCGCGTTTATGCGTGTGCGTGTGCGCATGCGTGTGCGTGTGCTTGTTTGTGTGCACGTCTGTGCGCCTGCGAATGCGTGCGCGCGTGCGTGTGTGCGCGCGCCGCGTGCGTGAGGATGTGTATGAGACGTGCGCGCGTGTCTGGGTGCGTGTTTGCGCGGCGGGTGTGAGTTGCGGTGATGCTAGTGGTCGTATCGTCGGTCATATATAATAAATTTCTCGATTAGCAATAGTCATCGGTGCCTCTCACCCTTGATGCGCAGCGCATCTTTCATCTTCACTTCGTGGTCACACAGTCTCGTCGCCGAAGCTTTTATTTTTGCGGTCTTCTTCACGCGATGCTTGACGATAACCGACGCTGCTCCAGCGAGCACTACAGAAAACCGAGTAATGCCACATCATGCCTTGCGGGAAGTGCATCTCTACGAACGAATTCGGCGGCTAAGCACTGACTTCACCTGATTGCCGTTACATACACTAATATATTATATAAAGTCTTCTCTCTCTCTCTCTCTCTCTCTCTCTCTCTCGCATTCTCTCACCCCTTCCCCTCATCGCTCTGACCAGCGGACAGATCGAGTTGGTGTTGCAAACACACCGAGCTCGGGCACGCATTACGTCCTCACGTAAGCTCACACACGCGAGGGCTTACTACACGCTCTACGCTCCCTACACTGTCAGCAGACAGGCAATGACGAAGCATTAATCAGTCACTCGAGTAGAGGAGAAGAATTTATTACTATCAAAAAAAATGAAAGCGCTTTTGTTCGGTTTTCTGCTGCAAATTAGATTTTGAGCACGGTTCATCATTATTAAAGCAGCCGGTTAAACATGATAGAAGTCGAGTGGCTCTGCCATTATTGTCTATTTTTATATCCATCGTGTATCATAATATCATGCAGAAGTGAATAATAATAGATGCATAAATATATGTAATAATAGATCTATTATTATTCACTCCTGATAATATCTTATAATAGGGGGTAAAAATTCTGAACAGCATCCGAATACGAGCAGTTCGAATAATAATTATAATCGAATCTTCGAATCGTCTTCGAGTCTAATTGCCACTTATGACGTGTTCTCGGCGTGAGATACTGCGATGGCGACGAGTCATGTTTTATAAGTATCATTCCTAATTGGAACGCATATATTACTTATCGCAATTTATGCACTCACAGATCGGAACTACGGCGCAGATGACACACGAGAAGATGTAAAAGAATTCACTGCCGGAGAAACTGTCATGGCGGACGAGTTCGACGCACTTCTCCATGTGCTTGCCGCGTAGCTGCATCGGTTGCGGGCAACCCTTAGTGCTGTCTGTTAAAACAACGTGTGTACAAAAACAAGTTGAACTATAGTACGTAATTATTGAGTAGTATGCGCAAACGCGTCTATGTTCACATTTTCATTACTAGGCTTTCGGTAACGAGTGGGGGCGGAAATAAAAAGAACCTTGGTAAAGTACCAGCTGAATTGAGAGAAAATAGGCATAAAAGTGCTTGTCGATAGACATTATTAGGATTTACAACGTAATTTAATATGTTATTAAATTTGACCAATCTAATTATAGCATTAAATCAATGCATTATCATTAATAAAATCAAATTGAATTCAGCTGTTTTAAAACAATTAGCAGGTATCAAATTGTCATCAAAACAAGAAAATTTAGTTAGTTCCAATTACTTTTAGATTACACCCACTTTCCTAAAGTTGTATATGCAAATCTTGTTGAAAATGCACTTTTCGTAGAATTGTTTTCAACGTGGTGCTAGGAAAAAAATGTTTCAAAATTGCAATTCCCTTGGAAGAATAATTTTGCGATTGCTTTACTCCTATTGACATAGACATTTAGTAAAGTATTCAAGCTATAAGCCTGTCGTCCCAGACCAAACATGCATGTGATAGACTGCATTGGGCGTACCAATTATGGAACCTCGACGCGATATGGTGGCGTGTTACGTGTTCCTAATATGGCAGGTTGATTGATGAATGGCCTAAACCGAAGACCTCCATCAATATTTATTGTTCAGAAAGAGCAAAATCTTTCAAGTGCAAATGGAAATTTTTTATTTTAAACCACTCGTTTTACGTCGTTCGCTTACTTGAATGCCAGAAAAACACGTTCTCTTGTATATCAGACGGTCCTATATTTGTGCAGGCAAGGATAACGTCGTACAGCTTCGTTGCTTTGATCCGGGCCACTTCCTCTTGCGTAAATAGCCTGCGAAAAAACGATATCGCGCGTACGTTTGAACAACTATCCTAGACGGTCACACTTTACCACAGGTAAAGCTTTGCGCAACAAAAAACAGAGAAAGGCCTGAGCGTTTCATAAGCTGTTATTTGCAGAGAACGTTACTAGGCCTATAGAGCTTCGATGCTTTATATAAAAGTTATTAAGTTGCTTATATAAAGTTGCTACGGTCACGGCTGTGTGCATCATAGGCCAGATCCACTCCTGTTGACAGTGACGCACATATGTAAAACTCCGTTTGCATGCAGGCGCATGAATAACGATAGATATATTATGCCATTGGGCTGTGGCACGAGTCAATACTTGATTGCGTAATGTTGCTTCTTTGTGGGGTTCCAGTTGTATCGCGCGTCGGAAAAAAACATGCAATGTTCGCTGTCACCCACGATAGCTTCAACCCGGAATTACGCATCATCGTACACACGCACATACACCCACGCACAGGCACACGCACATACACCCACGCACAGGCACACGCACATACACCCACGCACAGGCTAACGCACAGGCACACGCACATACACCAACACACAGGCTAACGCACAGGCACACGCACATACACCCACGCACAGGCACACGCACATACACCCACGCACAGGCACCAGGCGCACACACCCACGCCGAGGCACCGCGCGCATACACCCCACGCATCAGGCACACGCACATTACACCCATGCACACGCACAAGCACAGGCACAACGCGTGCCATAAACAAATAATAACATTACATACAGACAGACAGACAGACAGACAGACAGACAGACAGACAGACAGACAGACAGACAGACAGACAGACAGACAGACAGACAGACAGACAGACAGACAGACAGACAGACAGACAGACAGCCAGACAGACAGACAGGCAGCCACACAGATAGGCAAGCAGGCACTCGAGCGGACGGACGGATAGAGAGACACGCACGCACGCATATATATATATATATATATATATATATGCGTGCTGAAACAACCTTGTAGCTGTGTAACAAATTTGTAGTTGTGTGGGCGAGCGCACGATCTCAGCAGATTGAGGAATGTGTATGAAATGAGTGAATGGACAAATGGACGCGTATCGCGCCAGGAATGTATGAATTTACCCACGAGACGCCACGCAAAAAACACGATTGGTCCGGCATAGTGTTGTATGCAACCACAACGCCAATAGATGAATGAGATACACGTACATATTAACGAATATCACGACGTGTTGCGCGCGCGTGGTATTGATCAATGCCATCGACGTAACGACCGACTGAAAAGTTGAACTTATTGCTTCTTGTTATTTTCACAAGATACACGTACATGTTAACGAATATCTCGCCATGTCACGCGCGCGTGTACCATCATCGACCGGACGACCGACAGACAAAAACTTACTGGTTCTTGTTGTTCTCGAACCAGAATCGGTCTCCGTCACGCAGACGGTAGAACTGATCCTTAATGATGGCGCGAAACAGCGGTCCGATGCCGTGGCTACCTGTCTCCAGCATGCCCCCCACGTATAGGTCGATCTCATCGATGCTTCCGTACAGCTTCCCGAGAGTGGTGAAAACCTAGCAAACGGGAAGAAGTTGCGAAATTGATATTTTCGAATGATTATAACGAATCTGTTCGTATCGCGGCAGCGATGATAGATGAACGACGGAACGACGGAGGAAGACGACGATGATTGAATTTGCAACTTTTGCAACATTTTCAATTTCGCAAACTGTTTTTCAGTTTCGGGAAATCCGGGAAACCCCGAATGATTCGTAATAAATTGGATGAAATTCACGTATGGCGCCGCGTAACGCGCCTGGCCTCTATAACAACATAATCATTTTAACAATATAATAATTGCAATGCAATATAACAACAACTTTATCACACATGACAGTCGGCGACGTTTTTATGATTCAACGATCACGAGTCGGCCCTGATAAATGCGTTGTTCCGTACCTCCGGTGTCACCTTGTTAAGTTCGGGGTTGATGTCAGACCAATTACTCATTCTGTCGAACCCGAAGTTCTGTCTTGCTGTGTTGTAGTCAGTCAGCCCGAAGTCACGGCCACGCATTATGTTTAACGCTACGAGATCCCGTCTCGAATACTGCTTCGGGCCAAAGACGGACTCTGCAAAAAATGTCGCAATACGTCGAAGAAGAAACAGTGAGAAAAATGTCAAGGAAATGGAGCGAGATGCTGCTTATCATTTGCCGACATCAAACGCGTAAAGAAAGATCAAAGATAGAATAGAATTGCCATCACGAAACCGATCCCCGATAGTTGTGTGGGAGGAAGCTATCGTGCGATGAAGAACGATGTGACCGGAAAAGAATTTATGGTTCCGCAGCGTAACAATTTAGATAAAGATACATTCTGGAACGGATTTAAGTCTGTTATAAAGAAATTACGATGGAGCAGCAGCAGCAGCAGCAGCAGCAGAGTACTCTATTGTGTTCTTCCGGGCACTCGGTTGCTTTCCGAGTAAGTGCGTGGTATGGTTATATGTCACTCACCTCTTAGATCATCGGCAATGACAGTATCCTCCCGCTCTGCAATTTGCGAAGCCATTCCCATGAGAACCTCTTCTATTCCGTACATTTTTATCGTCGTCTGGAAAAAAATTATATAAAAACTCCATTGCCCTCAAACCGAGAGACGCATTCGCGGGTGTTTAAAGATCAATACGATTTTGCACATTTCGGTAGACGCCACGCGATATTATTGTATGCTATACACCACAGCGTGATTCGTGCGACCTCTAGCGGATTAGTGCGCGGTACATACCTGTGCGGCGTGGAATGTGTTGCACAACCGTATGCCTGGATGTCCGTCAAAATGTCGAAATCTACACCGAGAGTCCCTTTGCATGGAAAATCGTTAAATAATGTTAATAGATCATTAAATGAAGTCGTAATTATGTTTCAGATTATCTGTCTATGTGTTAGTTGTCACCATCGTTTTGCGTATGACCTAGAGTATGTGTGAAGTGAGAAGACTATTGAGACTGTAAAACCGGGATTAAGAGAGCGAAATAGGGGGGGAGAGAGCCAGAGGAAGAGCGAAAGCGAGAGTGAGTGAGAGAGAGAGAGAGAGAGAGACAGACAGAGAGAGAGAGAGAGAGAGAGAGAGAGAGAGAGAGCGCGACGGAAAGTGAAAAGGGAAGAGAGAGGTGGAAAGTGAGAGGGGGTGAGAAAAAGAACGGGAGAGAGGTGGAAAGTGAGAGGGGGTGAGAGAAAGCACGGGAGAGAGGTGAAAAATGAGAGGGGTGAGAGAAAGAACGGGAGAGAGGTGGAAAGTGAAAGGGCGGACGGGGCGAAAAGGGACGAAATGTCCACGAGAGTCTTAGAGAGTGTGCGCATGCGCGCGGGGCGAGAGAGAGAGGATTGGTGATCACTGAATACTCGAATTAATATTATATTATAATTATAGGAGTGTTATAATGTACACACCTCAGATAGAACCCAGGCGGTATTAGAGTATGGCTAAATCGGAAAGCAGCCACATGGAAGAGGTCTGTGATTCCTGGATGAATATCAGGATTGTAACCTGGAACAAGCGAAGCAGGAGAAACGCTCCATTACATATCCGTAGCTGCTGTAAAGGCGCTCGCATTCAGCAGAGTGCGCATGCGCGAGTACACATCGTGTCGGCAAAATCGAAAGGAATTTAACATAAAGGATTATGCAATAATTGAGAATTAATCAAGACTGCAGAATTACGACTAAAGCGGTTATTATGTGTAGCGCATGAGAGCGTATTAGCATATAGATAAATACCATGGTACTTCTGTGTCGGTTCATCAAGAAAAGCAGGCACGTATTCATACAGGAAGATATTCTGAAAGTAGAAGATAAATTTAATAATCGCATCAAACATTTATGGTAAGAAGGCAATATTTTACGAGTAAGAATGAGCGCTTGACAATTTATGCGAGACGGTGTCTTGTAAACACTCTGATCAAGTAGTACTGTTTGCCCCCGAGAGCAGGAGAACATCACATACACTCCACTCTCATCGTCATCAGATAGTAGTGCAATGTTACGAGTAGCTGCTTGAGTGTGAGTGTGTACGCGCGCGTGTCTGTGTGGTGTGTGTGTGTGTGTGTGTGTGTGTGTGTGTGTGTTGTGTTGTGTGTGTGTGTTGTGTGCTGTGTGTGTGTGTGTGTGTGTAGTGTTGCGTGCGCTGCTCTGCTTTGTGTGTGTGTGTGTGTGCTGTGTGTGTGTGTGTGTGTGTGTGCTGTGCTGCTGTGATGTGTGTGCTGTGTGTGACAAGCTGTCGTGCTGCCGCGCGCGTTGTGTGCGTGTGCTGTGTGTGTGTGCCGTGTGCGCCACGTGCGTAGAAGTGCCGTGCGTGCGCGTGTGTACATGCTTAAGCGCGAGCGTGTTTGTACTACGAAGGTTTGCCTGAAAGGTGGGGGGCGGCGGCGGGGGGGGCGGGGGGGGGTGGAAGATGCGGCCCCGTTTATGCCCGCCGTCTGCAGGTGGCTGGTACGGTAAACGAAGCCGTGTGCGCGTCCAATGTGTGCCGTATGGTGCGCCGTAGCGTGCGTGTGCGCGTGCACGGCTTCAGCATTGAACCGCAGCGCCACCTGCATTGCTAGCCGCAGTCACCCATCGACGCGGCCGCTAGAAAAATTTCGCTCGCTCGCTCCACGCTGCCGATTTTCCTTCAGCCAGTTCTCGCGGGCGACGACATTTGTGGTAGGCGCGAAGAATAGGCCCGCGAACGCCAGCATAGGCTGGGCATGCCTGATTTACGCGTGGATCGCTCGAGACCTACATCGATCTCTCAAACACAAAGCCACAAGAAGTCCATGACATTTAGAAACAGCGGCGAGCAGACACACTAGTCGCTTTTAGGGGTGCGGCAGCATCGCCACCAGCGTCTTATCGCGAAGGTTCAACTTAGCGTTGACGGACCTCCCCCACGCGGGATATATTAAATATGGCATGTGCCCTATTCAGCAGCGGAAGAACGTCTCTCGGAACTTTCAGCCGATTCTCGCGCTAGAAATGTCACGGCAATGGCCTTGTCTGCTCGGATAACATCACGAGTTCCGTCCCCTAGCCTCATCAGCAATGACCAGTTGTGGGCCGCGCCTGAGTCAATGTACTAAGTGTAGATTCTCCAGAGGCCGCGCGGCCAGTGGCATTTCCAATCTTGCGAAGCTGCGTGCTGCACACACACACAACACACACACACCATACACACACACTACACACAACCACACACACAACACACACACACAAACGCATGAGATCGAATAATGCACATTCATTATATATGATGATATCATTTGGGATGTATGTGCCCAACAGTACTGCGTTCTACTAGCAAATGGGTTTTACATGCTCTGGGTTTCCAATAAAGTCGAACTATACTGTCTGTGTGGTCAGGATAGACCAAACCAGACACCGCACAGAAGTGCTACTATGAGTTTGGCACTGGTTTTTAGATCTTGCTCAGACTCTAAACAAAAGCACCATCGGGATCATGGCATTGTTTCTCTTGACATGAGCTGAGAAACTACACATACTACCAGCACAACTCGCGACCATACGCTTAACCTAAACTCGTCCTCTCCACGTACAGAGGTCTCGTGGGCCGTAGAATAAGCTTCATTTAGTGCTTACACAGCAAGATAAATAGCCACCGCATGTGTCCCTGTATGTTGTGTGGGGCGTAACCAGCCAGCGGGCTACATGACCGCAAGTTCAATGTGATCCTCTGTGGTGAGGGTGAACGCCTGCAACCCATCACCTTGAGGCAGCCCATGTTCTCGTCGCTCAGCAATTCAGGTAAGCCAGCACACTGCGACCGCATGTTCTGTGTGGCATAACCAGCACACGGGACAGCCCACGTTCTGTGTGGTAACCAGCCACACTGGACAGCGCATGTTTCTGTGCTGCGTAAACCAGCACACGCGGACAGCCCATGTTCTGTGTGGCGTAACCAGCACCACGCCGACAGCATGTTCTGTGTGGGTAACCAGCACACGGACAGCAAATTGTTCTGTGTGGGTAACCAGCACACGGACAGCATGTTCTGTGTGGGTAACCAGCCCACACGGGACAGCATGTTTCTGTGTGGGTTAACAGCACACGGACAGCATGTTTTCATGTGTGGGTAACCAGCCACACTGACCGCATGTTCTGGTCGGATAACCAGCACACGCCGACAGCACGTTCTGTGTGGGCTAACCAGACCCACACGGCACAGGCATGTTCTGCGGCTGTGTGGTAACCAGCCACACGGACAGCATGTTCATGTGTGGCCGTAAACCAGCCCACCGGACAGCATGTTCTGTCTGGCGTAAGCCATGCACACTGGACAGCCCCATGTTCTGTCGTGGGTTAAACCGCAGCAACACGGAACAGCCATGTTCTGTGTGGCTAACCACGCCACACGGGACAGCATGTTCTGTGTGGGGTAACCAGCCACACGGACAGCATGATTCTTGTGTGGCGTACCAGCACACGCGACAAGCATGTTCTGTGGCGGCTAACCAGCCACACGGCAACAGCACTGTTCTGTGTGGGTAACCAGCACACGGACAGCATGTTCTGTGTGGGTAACCAGCACACGGACAGCATGTTCTGTGTGGGTAACCAGCACACGGACAGCATGTTCTGTGTGGGTAACCAGCACGACCACAGGCCGGCAAACAGCCAGTTATAGTCATATAACTACCCTACCGGATTTCATTAAAACACTGAAATCGATTCTATTTCGCGATGAATACATAACACTTGATCCACACAACATACATATAATATACAATACATACAAATACATATAACGCTGATTCGACAACGCGAAATGAAATTCGCGGTCTTCGCAGTTGTCTTACGGTACGTACGGTACGTCTCTTGTATCGGCATGCTGTGGTGGAGGTGCGGAGCGTAATGGTTATACGTGGGGATGCCGATGTTGTTGTAGGCAGGGTATTTTCCGTCCATCATCGACAAAAACGTTCCGTTCTCAAACGAGCGAAGGCTGGACGCTATCGATTCCTTGGTGTTGTACACAAAGCTCGCATCGATCCAGCTGGTAACCAAGTTTAGCTGACGACAAAAAAAATCGGCAGAAACTCAATCAATGATCAAAGTTGAGAACTGAGTGAAAGCTGTCGGCGGTGGTAGTGTTTGCGCTGTGAGCGGAGAAGCGGAGGGAGGGGGGGGGGGCAGACAGAATACATCTAAGTTCATCGTCGCAGTTCCGGATGCGACAGACATCGACGAAATATTTAAAGCCAATTAACTACACGTTATCGTGGCGCTAGCTGTGCCCGCGTCCGGCCGATACACCGCCTAAGCTCGACCGCAAGCTTCACCCTACAGAATTAAACCAAGGATGCTGACTAATACGGAAGAATATTAGCGAAACCTGCCATCGTAGTCTATTAAGGGGGCGTTTAGGGCTGTGGCAAATGCAAAGCGCAGAGTAAGACAAGTCGACTTCGTGATGCGCAGCGGCGGCGCGCATCCGCTCACGGAAATGACTATCGACGCGTCTCTAACACCTACACTGTCTGACGCAAACTCGTATAAATGATCCTGCGCGTAGCCATGACACTAGCCGCCGTTGGGCAAATATTCTGTAAACTTGCATCGTAAAATTTCATCGCTGTCACTCGATGTGAAATACTAATCACGTAACGAGCGACCGAAAAGAATTACAATTATGCTAATCTCGTTTTATATCTTAATTTAATATTGTCGTATTTCGTAGGAACAGACGTGTAAGTGTCACTATTACTCAAGGATGTCTTTTTTCGTATTTGCATATTTGTTACAGGTTTGCAGCTTATTATTTCGAACTTGGAATCTAAATAAAATAATGTGGATTGTATAGATATGTGGCTCACCCGTCAAATATCATGTTGTCGAACAATGCATTGGAAGATAACGAGGAGAAAAACCAATCTTAATTTATGAACATCGATTCTTTTGTATATACTTGCTCATCTGCTATCTCATGAAAGATTGACTGGTTCAGAAAAAATAAACGACCTGTTTTACTGACCCACTAATGTGCATATCTGGGCACTTTACCTGCGTTTGATTTTCCACGCTTGTTAGTTAATCGGTTAAAAATGCTATTCCCGATCGATTCAGGTAAAACAAGGAAAGGATGTTGTCACGTAATCTTGCGGCATTATTTTATTGTAATTATCATACGATACGCGCGAATCAAAGAACATGCGGTCGGTTGGCCATTAATGGGCAATTATCTTGCAGTCGTGACATATAGTATATAATTATTGGTTAATAAAATTTCGTGTCTATTATGTGAAAAAAATCGAGACAACAATTATCATATGGCGTAAGAACTTTTCTCGGATGTCATCATGATTGTCAGAGTTGTTTTTAAAAAACCACAATTAATCATAGAAAAGCACACACATACGCGCGCACACACGCGCACGTACGTACGTACGCACGCGCGCGCGCATATACAATGACTACGAAAGCTGCACGCCTAGTATAATAATACCTGAGATGCTTAGTTATACCACTTACTAGTTATGCTTGTTTTTTTACCTGCGTGATGCCTATTATATATGGTCGGTGGTCATCGAGGCCGCTAAGTGACCAAACGCGCTGAGCTCGCGCATTAATTAAAGAGATAAATTAATTGCGTGTAGCTCACCTGCGTTCGCGGGTTGTTCACTGATTCACCCGTTTCGTGTTTGTACTTGACTCTGTGAAAAGGCATCGATAGACCCGTCGATTTGCAGTTATCTGCTGCGGTGCACGTCACCATGTCAACCTCGTGCATCTCTATGGGACAGGTCATCTCCGTGCCGAGTAACATCTCATACGCGACAACTTGTCCTAAAGCACGCGAAAAGCTCTCAGTTAGATTAGACTTCCGGGAAAGTCGTAGCGAAGAAACTTTTTATGATAAAAGAAGATTCTTTTACTGATAATGAAATGGCAATTATTATGCGTTGATGAAAGTCAAGGGTGGTGGGATTTTACACGGTACGCACGAGTGAAATTGCAACGTATTTATGTGCGCAATTCGTGCGTAAGCACATGGGATTTACGTACGCCTGTTGCGCGTCAAGTACTGCATAGTGTGCCGTTAAGCCTTAAGCACTTGCCGTTAAAGCCTTAAGCACTGCCGTTAAGCCTTAAGCCTTAAGCCTTAAGCCGTTAAGCCTTAAGCACGCATTTTTTCCAGAGAAATTGCAAGCGACTATGTGTGTGTGTGTGTGTGTGTGTGTGTGTGTGTGTGTGTGTGTGTGTGTGTGTGTGTGTGTGTGTGTGTGTGTGCGCGCGCGCGCGTGTGTGCGTGTGTATGCGTCCGCGCGCACGTGCATGTTTGGCGTGTGCATCCCAGTGCGTGCGTGCGTGCGTGCGTGTGTGCGTGCGTGCGTGCGTGTAATGATTTGCGCAATCAGTGTAATATCATTTAATATCATCAGCATCATTAGTACACACCGCGCGTGCCACGAATTGTAAAGACCTTGGCCGTTCTATTGTTCGTAATAAGTCGCGAAATGAAACACATATAGAATCAGGAGTGTCATAATATAGACTCATGGTTATAATATAGTCGATATTATGACACTTCCGATAGAATTACCGAAAAATGCCAGCATCGTCGTGCGGTTGAGCTGCGAGGGTAACCCGTCTTCGCCTTTGAACAGCAGCTCGCTGACTGCTCGAGCGTTGGGACGGTTCTCCCCAGCCAGCTTATACACGCCGTCCGCGAACGACACGGGTGTCTTCCTCACAAACGTAGAACCTAAAACGAGTGGGGCCGTTGTCAGAAGCATCGTAAAGTTAATGCTAATGTTAAGAGTAATTTTGTTTAAATTTTGTTTTTCCCCAGATAATGGCGGATAAATCGCCGCGATAAGGTGTGACTCCTCGACGGTTGTTACGAATGCCGCGGCGAATTAATATTGCTATATATGTAGGTAGTGAATATAGAGAGTGGAATTGATCTGAGAGTTCTGAAGAGAATTTCTACTTAATTTTTGTCGTGTATAGGCATGTCGTGTTCGCGATGTGAAGCTACTTGGCAGATGTGGGTTATATTCGGTCAATGATTTCTATTTTCAAGCTGTCAAAACAGTCACGTCGGCCCGAATTGTGCCAAAGGTGTGTTTGATCTTGCAGTTTATCAACGGTCCTATTTTTCAATCAGCAAACCTAATCGGATTACGACCTCTTAATGTTCCCACACGCTCGGCACCGACTGTCTATACCTGTAGAACCTATACATCTTTAAAGCTCCCTATCCACGCGAAACGAGGACAGCGTAAAGAATGACGAAATAATGGGCGCGCTGTGTTCGCACGTGCTACATACGTGTCGCAAAGCCCGAGCTTAACTGGCGAGGACATGGCGATTAACATGAGACTGTCACGGAGCGCTGACACGCAGCGATTTAGCCCAAATCCGCGCTTACGCGTCGCATTATCGGCAAAATCCTTTTAAGATCACATAACCGCATCTCGATGTAACACACTATATAGTCGATGGCATCTCTGCGCTACACATTTCTCTGGAAACTGTGTAATTTGCGGAGACTAAAGGGGGGCTTATGTCGGGCTTGCGAGCCGACTCGACTGGAAGCAACTGAATTTCGAGCAACTGGAAGCGATCGGCAGCGACTAGTTGCGTCCAGTTGCCCACTGTTCTATTCCGAGCAACTAGTGGCGGCCAGTCGCAGGCAGTCGCTTCGCAGTCGACCGACCTAAGCACTGCAGTCGCAGTGAATTGCAGCCAGTTGCTTCCAGTCGAGTCGGCTCGCAAGCCCGACATAAGCCCCCCTTAACGCATTCTGTCGGTCTCGACTGCTAGCATCGCTTGTAGACGCGCTTCGAGGTGTGCCGTGATTGTATGCAGCAAATTGAGTTACTCAGACGCCTCGCATATTCTTCGGATGTATATGAATGTGATGAATGCAGCAGCCGTCTAGTTGTCCGTTCTTCGTTTATCCATAGATATATACAGCACATGTGTTGTATATATCTATGGTTTATCTTCTACTTTAATATCAAATTGCACACATTTGTGTTTGAATCAATGTGATAAAACCGCGTTACGTAGCAATATCATACAACATTATACCATCTCGTGAATAGACAGATGTGCAGAAGTAGAGGAAAGTCAAGGCAGAAGCTGTCAAGGACACGAGCGACGGCCGAGGTAGAGTGAGCTGTTAATGCTGGAACAGTGGCAGGAGTGTATATAGTTGCATATATGTATATACTCACCGGTTGATCCCCACGAAGGATGAACTAGGTTATTGTACCATCCATCATAGCGCTGCCAGTGAGACATGCTCATTCCTGCCAAATAAAACAAATGTATATTTCAAACACATTTAAAAAAATTCAACACTCAAATATTACATTCCAAAACAACCTGACCTAAATGAGAGTCGCATGTTACACTGCATTTTAGGGCGTAACCTGGCATTCTTAACGTTGCACAGGATTTTGTAACATTATAATATATTTAATATATTTTAATATAATTATTTTCTATATAATATAATTATATAGCGTTTCAGTAACGTTACATAGCATTTATGTAACGCTACATGGCTTATCCGCATCGTATCACAACATGTTGTTAATGTGTAACCCATTACTGCTGTAACGCTACAGTATTTTTATAGCGTTACACGGCATTTCCATAATATCGTGACACAGCATTTCTAGTTCGAAACCCATCATTGTTGTAACGTTACACGTAGGCGTTTCCGCAACGTACGTTACACAGCATTTCTAGTGCATAACCAAGCATTTTCACCATGTGTAATGTTACGCTTAAGTCTGTTGTCAAAATTGAAATTAGTCTTAGTGTTAGTCTTAACATTAATTTAGTACTAACTAGTTTCATTCCATTCACACCACCATTCACTGGCGACTTCGACACATGTTTGCCAATCAAATGCGTGCGATGCTAGCGCACACATTTCTAGTGAACGGTGCTGTTTTGCAGTAGGCCAGAAATTTGTTGAAAGTAATTACAGAATAGAAGCAGGGAATTAAGCCTGCGATGACAGCACACGCTATTAATAAAGGTCTGTTATGATATAGACAGTAATAATGCTTAGAATTTCAGGCAATCTACGCGGTAGGTAGCTTTATTGTGCCAATTGTTTTAATACAAGCATAGAATCCGTACAAACTGCACGGAGAAGTCTTTGCATGGCGATTAAACATAGCTAAATTAGCGTGTGTTGGGTTAAACATTTAGCATGCTATTTATACAAGTATGATATTCACAAGCGTGCCAGCGTGAATCAGACAGAAAACACCCTTTCGAGTTGTCTGCGGTTATCAGACTTTACTTTAGGGATTACGCTGGAGCTACGTGAATATAACAGGTCTGGAGCTACGTGAGTATAACAGGTCTGTAGTACGCGCACGGCAGCACGTACGCTGTTGCTGGCGCGCGCGGTGTCACGTACCTAACCGCCCTCCTATATGCGTTATCCCTGCCCGTCCACGCATATACACGCATTCCTTCTAAACAGACACCCTTTCTCCCCGTCCACGCATACACGCATTGCTTCTAAACAGACACCTTCCCTCTCCGTCCACGCATATACACGCATTCCTTCTAAACATATATGGCGTTCGCCCGCTGTTTAACCCGTTAATTGTCATCCATAAACTGAAATGCGATTTAAATGTTCATTGTCGATGAGTCAACTTAGATTCTTGGTCATGGACCACAAGACTTCGAAGTATTTAACTGGTATATATGCCTCTATATACGGTACGAACATTTCCAATCCATGCATGACCCTAAAGCCGGCAGCCGACAACAACGGCATTCTGATTGCCTATCAGGAACGGATACAGAAGCCGGTCGAGCATAATTCGCCGATTGTAAGTTAGGCAATCTAGTTAGGAAAGCGCAACAGTAACCGAAAATTTATTAAGCAAATCGGATTGTGCCGAATAATGACGTATATTAGCGGCATGAGCACGTCGCAGTGCTTTCTGAATTGATAAATCATAAATACAGCAATAGCAGTAAACGCATGTAATTGCCTGTCTTATACGTATTCGATTTAATGAACAGTCTACTGAACGCGAGATGACTTCTGATTCGGATTATCGCCATACATTCTCTACATATTTGCTCACAGGACATTTCCCCTCTATTACGTTTACAACGTAGGCAGCTGTGATATTGTAATTACTATAATGCTGGACTATACTACTCATACAACTAAGACTCTGTGGTTTCGCGATTTCTTACATTTCCACGGATCATCTCTCTGGTATGAGAAAAACAAAACGCCGAAACAATTGGCACACGGAAGAAGGAAGTGGACCATTCAGCCGGCAATGCTGAAACTATCCGTTACAAAGCTCTCGCCTCGTAAACAGGCGAGCTAAGATGAACGCGATAGTAAAGGGCCTTTATATCAGTGGGGACGCATGTGGCCTCTACTGAAGGGCAATTTGGTCCGTAATGATGTGTCGTTGAGGATACACGTTGTCGGAATACCAGTCGTATCGCACGAACCTAAATCTGACGCCTAATTCGATCAACCTAAATATCTGTCAACGGTATCGATCTCTCATCAAATAATGTCTCGCGTGGCGAGCACAAGTAGATATTCATATATATAGAGGTTTGTCACTTGCGCTATATTTGTTGAACAAGCTCAACATTTAGCCGCTTAACCTGATTTCTGCAACAAAATAATGTCCACGAAATAAAATAGGCCACGAACACGGTAAATATTTAAACTAAACACCAAACATTATCAAATCAAACTAACGAATAAACTAACAAACTAAATCATCTACGGGACCATAAAATGCAAACAAAATATCAAATTTAAACAGCAAAATGCCACGACATATCATAGAATGGCAAGCGTAATATAGCAGTATTAAGGAACGAAAATTCATTTAAAGAAAAGTTAAAAAAGTTAGTCGGTTGTTAGTCCGACTATTTGAGCACATTACATTTCATGTAAATAAAGTTACAGCATACTACCTAATGAATTTTATTATAGGAATTTACATTTCTAATGGGAAGCATTGGGAATTTTTCTTGTAATGTAAGATATACATTTGAGTTGTGTAAAAGATGTGTTTAGGCAAAATTCTAATAGTGAATCAATTCTGGGAGTAAATGTCAAAGAAAGTGCATGTTAGAACCACGACCACGTTTGTATTAAACACAGCTTTCGTATTAACTCGCCACTTTTGTAATAAAATCAAGTCTTATACAGAAACTGATGATTCATATTTAAAAAGTGGTGAATTGATTTCATAAGATGGCTGCGAGTGCCCACAGAGGCTGATCATTTTTATTAGTTAAATGGCGAGTTCTATGAAAATTTTTTACTTTTTTTATTACGAAATAGTGTGTTATTGCAAAACAGGTTGCTAAGAGCGTGTGCGGAATAGCCGTTTTAATGAGTTTAAATTGTGACGAATATACATTTGATGAGAGAGCCAGTATGAGTAATTAAATGCGTCCTTGAGCGTGTTAGTGTACGCATTTACGTGGTCTTGAACGCGTTACTAATTGTGTTTTTATATTACTCCCGATAGAGGAATAATCTAACTGAAGGTTGTGCAACTAAAATATTGTCTAATTAGATTTAACTAAAGCCTTGCTGGTGATAGACGGGTCATCATAACGCTATGTAGTACATGCGAAGATTATATGCAAATAATCTTAAATAAATAAATAAATAAATGCATTATATGAAGTTATCGTTACAGTTTTAGTTAACATACAGCATTTCTTTGTAACTGAAGCCGACAGCTCTACAAAGAGGCTTGGTAGCTTCGTCACCGGCTTTGTGTTTCGTATAATCTGCACCGGCCACACAGTAAAATAAGAAAGAATAGATAGTAAAATAGACGAGAGAGAGATATGGCAAAAATGGAGAGCGAGAAAAAGAGAGAGAGAGAGAGAATAGATAGAGAGAGAGAGGAGGAAGGAGAGAGCGCGCGCGTGCGAGAGAGAGAAATACTGAGAGAGAGACAGAGAGAGAGAGAGAGAGAGAGAGAGAGAGAGAGAGATATATATATAGAGAGAGAGAGAGATAGATAGATAGATAGATATGGTATAGAGATGCAGAGAGATAGGGAGAGCAAGAGAGAGCGCGCGTGCGCGAGAGAGAAATTGGGGAGAGAGACAGATGGCGAGAAGGGGATAGACGGAGAGAGAAAGGTAGATAGAGATAGAGATAGACAGACAGAAATAGAGACAGAGACAGAGAGCGCGAGTTTTTTACGGGTTTAATAACTCGTATTAAAGTAAAAGGGTAAAATGACTTTATTATCGCTGTACCCTGCCAGCATGTGGCACATGACCGTGGTTGCGCATATGTAAATATATGATCTCCTGCCGCCATCTAGTGTGAGGAATAACTATAAAGCCGGTATATATAATATAAATGATATTAGAACAATGCACTAACGGAAAATTAATACCGTGTGTTGATTTCAAACACTAGTCTCCATACTCACCAACAATCAAATTTGTTTTTCAGTGCCAATCGCCTCGCTGTAACCAGATGAATAACGCCTATAGGGACTAGAGAGGACACGGAGAATCAACACGAGTTAAACATACCAACAGGAGTCATTGCGAAAAATTAACGAAAGTTACGTAAATGATTTCAAACAGAGCATTCGTTTTCATTCACTCCTGATACCAAGAGGCGTACACTGTTCTCAGCAGAAGTTTTCACTAAGTTTTCACTGGTACGATATTAGAGAAGATCACATCAATATCCTAACCCCCTAATCGGTTCGATTTACCTATTTTTGATATGCGCGAACATTCTAAACAACATGATTATCGCGTAAACCAAGAGTTAACTGTATTCACTTTACAAAGAGTTATATGTATTTCTTACATTTTCATTATTTAAATATTATTAGTGGATAGATTGGTTAAATTACAGCATGAAACAGGTAAAATATAGTGGTCGTAAAACAAATTGTGCGTTAAGATAAAAATCATAGCAAATTAGCATTTCACAAACAAGTATTGTTACAATTATTCGCTGGCATGTCATGTTTCTGCACACGTGTGTTCTCATGTCTATATCGTCGTTTACGATTGAAATGCTTTGTAATAAATATACTATAACTAAAATCTCTGAGGTATTTATTATTTACTAAAATCGCTTTACATAATTCAGTAAAATGTACATTGACGTGAATCACTGGTTGCGGTGGTGGGGATCGAACTCCACATGTAGAGCAAAATAAAGTGGAGCAGTAGAGCTGTATATAGCTGTAGAGCAGAATATAGAGCAGTAGAGTAGAGTAGAATGCAGGAGAGTTGTAGGAGTTGTTGTTGTTGTTGTTGTTGTTGTAGTTGTTGTTGTTGTTGTTGTTGTTGTAGAAGTTGTTGTTCCGTAGACCTTGAACCTGACCTTGACCGTGACATTGTCCTTGACCGTGGCCTCGACCAATTTTCCCATTTCTAAAATTTTCAGTGGCCTTGAGCTCAAGGCCATGGCCTTGGGCTCAAGGCCATTACATTTTCCAATTTTAAAATTGCTCCATAACTCGGCCAAGGCCACAGCCTGCAGCTCAAAGCCATATCCTTGAGCCATTTTCAAAATGTTTACATCACAGTCATGGTCATGGTCAAGTTGTGTTTACATTTCGCCTAACAACATCTCGAAAATATCTTTCCGTGGTAATTGACAAGATTTGAACCCGGAATTATTGAGTACCAGCCCAGCACGCTACGCTTGCACCCAAACTCACCATTTCTTATATGGTCGGATCCAATCTATGTGTTACATTTTGCTTACCAACAGTTAACAGAAAATTTTACTCTGTTCCCCGGCAAGAATTGAACTTAGGACAACTGTCTAACAGTCCAACACGTTACGCACTCACCCATACTTGCCATTTTAAGATTTTAATCTTAGATGTGTGTGTTACGTTTTTCTTCATTAACAAGAAATGATAAGACTGAATTCATCGCCTCTAGCATATATTTCAACGCGGATATTTTTATTTATAAACGGAATAGAACTCCTTGTGCAGTTCTTTCCGTTCAAATCATCCATGATTGGTAGAGATGTGGTATATCTTGATGTTATATTAATATTCTGCCACACCTGTTACGCATTTCTATATTAATCATTGGCTTCTGGCAATAATTAATTATTCGAAGCAATCATGACAGAAAAAGACAAAGATGTATGTAGATCACAAACTGTAATTAAGTGGACGCAGCAAGTTCCACAGCGTGTGCGGCGGGCTTTAGCTCCACGGGGAAAAATGCAAACTCAAAATGTCAATTTAAAATGATTTTTACTGATTTAATAAAACCCACAGCATAATGATTTCGTAAACATGTTAATCAGCCAAAATCAAATCATCAAATACTACGATAAAAATAACTGGCCTGACCTATCGCGGAGGCACGTCGTTTATTTTACAGTTGACAATTCACCAATATAGTACATAATAATTTAATACTAACATGCAAGGCTACAGTAAATGTGTAAACCATTAATACTAAAACTAAATTATTTTACTTGGATAATCCGATTTTAAATACAAATACAAAAATCCCAGTACGACGAAGAATAACAGCTCTGGGACATTTATGGCTTTCTGCATGTCCCATTTCCGTTATCACACGGGAGGAACACACGAGGACCTCCACTGTAAGGCATAGAAATAGAAAGCGAACGAGAGAGAGACGGAGAGAAAAAAGAGAGAAAGGGAGATAGTAGAGAGTGCGAGAGGGAGGCATAGCGTGAGAGAGGGGGTAGGAAGAGAATCAGGCAGTGAGTGAGAGTGAGAGCGACACACACACACGCACACACACAGACACACACACACACACACACACACACACACACACACACACACACACACACATACACACACCCACACGCACGCACTCACAGAGAGAGAGA